GTCACTTGCTCTTTTTTCTTTTAAAATGATAAATCCATTGAAGGGAGAATTTAACTTGGAGAGGACAACAAAAAGCTGGACAAAGCACGCAAAATTTTGGATGCACTTAGAATTTTTACAGCATGCCTGCTCTGTATTATAAAATGGCTGCTGTGTGAAGACATGCCTACTCAAAAAATAGCTGCCATGTTAGCTTGTCTGGCATGCAAATCTTTAGATAATTTGTTTCAGCAAAGGCTTCAGCCCAATGTTCACCAAAGCACCTTCACTAATAGTTGCAACATTCTATCTCGTTGGTTGAGCGGGGCACTTATGATGCTTTGTTTGGCAAAAGTGAATTTTGGGCGCACACACACACACACACAAGCTGCTTCTGTAAAAATGAAACAGCCAATCCGGTCAGTGATTTGTCCACTAGCTCTTTTGCCATTATGAACTGATTGATGCACTTCACTGAAGTGTATTGATTGGGTTTCACGTGGACCTGTGTACTGTCACAAACCACCCATTTCCCAGAAGGCATCTGGTGAGAAAGCTTGCCCCTTTGTTCTTTCCAACCCTGGGGCAGATGGGAATAATAGCAAACAGAGTGTTCAAGGCTCAGTTTGGAAACCAATGTTATGTTGGAGAGCAGTGTCTCATTTTCAGCATAATCAGATCTTCCACTTTTACAGAACTACAAAAGAAAGTAACTGCAGAAGAACAAGAGTGGTGATGCCAAAGGAGACACTGATGCCAGTGTTGGACCCCATGAGATCTTGTAGTGGCTATACTGCTGCTGGTGTTGTAGAACTTTAGCTAATTAATCTCAATGCTAGTGACTCCATATCTTTCACATACTTTTTTCCTATAAGCCTAATAAGCAGACAGATATCCTGAAAGATTCTGGATAGCTTTTTGAGCAAGCACACAATAATCTCACTCAAAAACTATTGAATTATTGAACCTTATTCAATAAAGGTGTGTTAATGTCCAAGCTTCAGGCATGCAAGCCATCTGTCATTAATTCCTGGAAGTCCTGTGTCTAAGGTCTGTCTTCAGAACGAATAGGACAAAGGTCTTTGTCCTCTCACTATAGATAAAAAAAATTGCCAACTGGAAGAAAAAACATTCCTGTAATAATTCAGGACTGAAAACAGGGCAAGTGGGTAAGATGAAAAGTCCCCATGGCATCCCCACAACCATTCTCCCCATCCTATTGTTTTCATTCCACCAGTAATAGGTTTGATTGTTAGTTTGCAAGACTACAGAGTTATTGGCAGGCCAGCTCTTTTGATCATTGTTCCTTTTTGGTGTTTCTGATAAAGTTCTTGTAGAATCAGATGCACTGACTAGAGTCTCTAAGCTCAGCAAAAATAAGAGGACATTTCACAGGAGGAGACTATTTCTCAGATTCAAAAGCATTTTAAATAAAACACATCAAGAAAACTTTGAAAAAAACTGTGACGAGCTGTATTCATTATAATGAGTAAAACTAGGGCTTATTACTCAAACAATATTAGGTTTTACACAATGGGTCAATGCATTTTGTAATGTTATAGGAAATGTTTGCATTTTAGATTTTCATATGGATGGTTTGTGGCTTTGCATTATGACCTCCTGAAAAAAAAAGAAACATACAAAATAACTGCGGGAGGTGGTTTCTTGGCTTCATCCTCAAGACTGCCAGCTTCTCTGTTCCATCCTCTCAACATCTATAACTTAGGCAGGGAAAAAGTTTTATATGTATTTCACATATTGGAACCTTTATTCCAAAAGCATGTTGCCTTTGTCTTCAGACAGCCATATTTCAATGACTGTCCTATCTTTAAAATCAGTAGTTAAGTATGGACACTTGTAGATATTGCTGAACTAAATCTCTCAGTAATTCCAATCAATATGGACATTTAGCAATTCATACCACACAGCCCAAGCTGTCAGACAAACCCTGAAACAACATCTATGCATCAGTCTTTATTTCTGCTCTGGATCTTGTCATTCCAGGTCACAGACTGTAGTGCAAAAACTTTGGTTCCTGCTCATCTACTTATGAGCTATTGCAAATATTCCTTATTTGTGGTGTACATGGATTTGAGACCTTGTGATTCTTATGTTATTCTGGAAACTGGGACCAATACCTTCAGGTCCACCTAGCCAGTTTCTGGTACCCAAGTTTGTTGAAACCTCAGAAAAATATTTGTTGCAAAATCATGTTAGCTGAAGTCCTCAGAGTGATATCGTGTGTCTCTGTGCAATAAGATGCATGGTTTTTAAGGTTTTATGGTTCCTTCTCAATGTAACAATAGTCCCAGCAAAGCTGCCTTAGGGTGAAGCTGCAGAAGCATGGAAGTGGCTTCCACAGTGGTCTGTTGGGTCTATAAATTGGAGAGATTATGGCATGTAATGAGGGCCAGTGCTGTGGATGTTGTCCACTTGAATGATGAGAAAGATAGTGAAAGTCTTTATATTTCTGAAATTGCAAAACATCCCTCAATTAGGGAAAAGTACCTGCAATAAATTCTAGCATGCCATGTGGTCAAAAACAGCAAGGACTGACTTTAAAATCCAGGATGCTTAATAAATGGCATGTTAAGCAGAATATTAAAAACCAAGGAAGGTACTCATTTCAATTTTTCCTGATGTTATTGGTCACTCAGCACATTCAGAACTAAATATTCTAGCCATCATGCTTCAAGACTTATTAGGTATTCAGGTTATCCAACAAGTTCCAATGTGAAGCTGGCAGAAGAATGTATGTGGCTGTGTATCTTTCAAGTTCCTGTTCTGGCAATTCCTTGTGAGCAACTGAAATCAGTGTGCTTTATGAGTGGTCTGCTATGTTCTATTAGCATCCTATAAAAATTATATCAACCCACCAACAGCTTGTGATGACTTAATCAATGCAATTTTTAAGGTCAGGGGGCGGGAAAGAAATTGTCACAAACAGGTTAACCTTTGCTATATTTTATTGCTAAGAGACTCAGTTACTGCATGTAGAGACAAGGATTCTAGAAGCAAGGTAATTTAATCAAAGAAATACAGTGGTGGTGGTGGTGTATCGGGGGGAGGGGTGTCAATTTATTTTTATTTAATCTTTCTGAATCTTGTTGCAAACTGACCAATTTTTGGGAAATGAAATAGATATTTAGGACCCAAGATGTGATTGCTGTTAAAAAGGGAAAACACGATTACTTAAGAACTTAAAATGTAATAAGATATTGTCAATGTTAAAGTACTTTTTTTTCATTTTCATTTTTCTTTTTTGCATATTTATTGTGCTTTTTCTTGTTTAGGCCGTTGTGAACCAAACTGCTTTTCTAATGAAAACAAAACCTTTCAATAATGTTCAGTGTAACTAGTTAAATTACTTTTCCACTCTTTTAACTTGATGAGCTTAACTATGTCTTTATACATGTTGCAAGACTGATGTGTCTCATTAAATTCCTCATGGATTTTTCTAAATTTAGAATTGACTTGGATTAGAGTTCTATAGCTTCATTCCACATTGCTCTAGTTACCTAGTTGTGTAGGTAAAGTTGTGTAGGTAAAGTAACGTGGAGAAAACCATGCCTGTATGGGAAAGTGAATCTGGAAGCTGTGTTGGTTTATTCCTTCCCATGCGATTTCCACTCACCTTCATTTTTAATGGAATTCTGCAAATGTAGTGGTCTATATGGGGAAGACCTAGTGGGAACTGTTGCCCACATAGCTGTCCTAAAAGAGTATCGAATTCATTTCTAAGGCAGTAATTTAAAATATTACTTAAGGCAAATGGAGCATTAAATCAGGAAAGGGGAGTTGCCCTATCTGTAGCATATGGCTTGGCTTATTCCAAATATTTAGAAGTTACTTTGGGTGTCACAGTATCTCTCCAGCTACATCCATGATTGGTCCAGAATATGTAGGTCAATTGGCTTCAATTAAAGTATGTAGGCCATTCCAGCACCAAGTTTCATTTTCCAGACCATTCTTTCTATGTTGTCCAGTTTCATTCAGGCTCATAAGAATTGTGTGATTGTTTCCTTTCATCCCTTTATCCAAACCCCAAGATTTTAGGTTACTAATATAGTCAAATTTCCATGTGAGAGTGTCTAAACTAGTATTTCTTATTTCAGTAACTTTCTGTTACTTTAGTGTTTTCCTTGAATAGGTTTAGCTTCCTTGATAAAATAGACTCTAAGAAATGTATTAATTTTTTGTCACTTATTTTCCCCCAAAGAACAAGTTGTACAATCACAGTCTGACACAAACACCTCTTAGATTTCATTTGTTTGTTATTTTTCCAAACAAAGTAGCCCACCCACCCCATTGTCCCCCAAATACATACTTAAGCAACAGAAAAGCAATACATCACAATAAGCATCACTTAGTTGCACACAAATAATAAATTAAGACAGTTGGAATCCCACACAGAATTAGGCAAGAATATCAATGTGATGACTAGAATATGGAATTGTAGTAATGATTTTCAATACTTCTGCAAACATATGGTGTCTACAGCTGTAAATTGTAGGATGTGAAAATATAGGTTGTTTCAGGTTTAATCTGGAAAAGTAGATTTTAAAAACTTATGATAATTTAGAGGCATGCTAGTCGCATAGCTCATAGTTCAGTTCTTGGTACTTTCAGTTAAAAGGATTAGCAGATTGGACCTCTGGAGGAGAAACACAGCCACTTAGCATAGCGTTGACAGTAATAAACATGAACCAATGAACTGATTCAGTATAAACCAACCAGTCTCCTTTACCTCCCCCCAATTGGGGCAATGATCAGTTACATTCACAAACCTGGCTTTAGCAACCCATGCATATACAAATTTTTGAGGGAGGGCATATATAAATCCTGTGCACATCCCAAGCCCTCCTCTGACACTGAAAACTTACAAGCATGGATAATAACAAGAAACATACTGCAGCCTCATTTCCTCTGCTGTGACATCCCTATTTATCTGGATGATCTGAAATCGAAATGTACCACATTAGCTGAACCTAATTATAAAACTTTCACTAGAAGAAATTTTGATAAAGTTCCTGATCATGCAGACACTGTAAACATGTTCAGCTGAATACCTAACATATCCATTTCAGATATTTCAGATACACATACTGGAGACTGATGGGGGGGAGGGGGGGGCAAAGTACCTTTTCCCAGCATACCGTGTGTTCATATATCCTAACACCCGTATATCACTCCTGACTTATAGGTCTTGTATTGGAGGACTGTTAAAATTTTGTCTCCATTCTCTTTTCAAGTTTGGTTCAAAAAACAGTGGATGGGCTCAAAAATTCAGGGCAATATTTGTGCCAGATGTATTTTTAGACAATTTTCTTCTCTCTAGAATTTTTTTAAACTAGAGTGTCTTTTAGGCCTATGTTGTACGCAATTATATTGAGATTCACCAGGTTATCAACCAATGTAACTGGCTCCCAAAACATAGCTATTGGGGCTATGCAAATACACTATCCAGAGATTTAATTTGGAAATGGTTCTAAATTTAACTTTGAAACTGAATACAACAGTTGACTCAAATTCATTTTTCAGATTGGTTTAAAAGTTTGAATCCAATCAATTTGACTTTTGAGACGTAAGAAGTTTGAATCAGCACAAGGTTGAATAGCAAATCCCTGGCGCTACTATTTGCATCAGTAGAGAATTCTCTTTGTTACCAATGGGAACCTCCTTTCCTAATATAAGGAACAACTGCCAATGGCCCTCTTCAAATCAGGAGAATGCCATCAGCAGTGGATTAACCTCTCTCCTGTCTATTTTTTTAAAGCATCCACAAATTTAGCAATGGCATGGATTGCTGTAAATCTGTTTTGCGGCACAATTCCCTATCCCAAGAGAAACTGCCTGTCAGCTTGGAACTGGTACAGAGAAAGCATAGAAAAGTTTTTTGAGATAAAAAGAATTATGTGTCTATCCTTCTCTAGACCCCATGTGCTATTTTATCATCTGTCAGAACTATCCTTTCCACCAATTAATTTAGGTTGCAGGAAAAAATAGTTGTAATGACCCAGCTTCACTTGTCCTTTGAAAGAGTTGCCCTCTGTAGAAAAAAATAATTGCAGGAAAATAAGATTTGAGGATACAAAATTCCTTGCTTCTTCCTCCACTACTCAATCCAGATTCTTTGTAGGTCTTAGGCATGGAGTAAACATGTACCAAGTGGCTATAATCAAGAGCAAGCAAAACTTATTAATTTTGAAGTAGTAATTTGAAAGGATCTCCAGATAAAGTTGAGAGACTTCCTCTGAAATGCCAAGAGATGTTGCCTGTCAATATAGGATATCAAAATTGCTGGATCAATGATTTGTAATTAATCACTGAAATTCAAACCTTAAGGACTATCAAAAGAAGATAGAAAACATATATTCCATGCTGGTCAAGGCAGCACAACAGACTTATCATGAAGAATGACAGATTTCACTTCTACACTAGTAAAAACTTCTTGTCTTGATAATGGAACCAAGGATCTGGAAGGTTAGTGGTTCTGCTTCACTGGAGGCCTCCAGATAGAGGGGAAAGTAATCTGCAGGAGTTACTTTGGCACTTAATTTCTTACATCACAGGAAATTGAATTAATTGTTTAGAAGCCTCCCTTCAAATTCTCAAATTCCAGGCCCATTTTATTTCTGTTTATCTATTAATTTTTCAACAAGGGTAGGCATATTGCTTCTGCCAAATGTTTTGGAACTTCCTATCAGCAAAAGACGGTGGGGAATTGTAATCAAAAATATTTAGAGGACACCAGTTGTCTTCTCATACCAGTTCACGCAAAGAACCCGCTTCCATAAGAAAAGATCAGGTTTCTAATGTATTTCAGACCCCCAGATATTCAGGGCCTGTGCCATTGCAGTGGCTGCTTCTGCCAGCTTTCTGCTTCTCTTTAAATCTCTTCTTATTCAAACAACTTATAGCACGTATCTTATGAGAAAAGCAAAGATATGGGGCTTCACCAGAAGAAGGAAAAGCACTCTAAAGGGAGTTATAATTCAAATATTCCCTTAAGAAACACTGGGACATATTCTGTGAAAAGAAGATGGCCATTTCCATGACTGGACTTCATGTTGATCATATCTAACTAACAGGCACTTGTTTAAAACTTCCAAAGGGCTAAATAATAGTATTCCACTTCTACTAGTTAGGGAAGACATGTTTCATTATGACGTCTGTTGCTTTTTCATTGAGTTTTGGCTACTAGTATGCACAAAATAAACCAGCAGAAATCAATGGGAGCAGTTTTTTCATGTGTGACATCAGCTGGCATACCATTATGTCATTGCAAGCATTGCAAGCAGTTCTTGTTTATTGTGGTCTCCCTTCTGGCATTCTCCATTACTGAAGAATAGGTATTAAACAAAGTGGATAAAAAGTTTCAGTCAGATATTCCTAAAATTGGCCTTGAAATATTCAGCATATACTTAAAAAGAGAGCTGTCTCTTTATGCTGTAATAAGTAAAGTCAAAAAAATTATGTTATATTGAACCAGACCTCATAAAATTCATCTGTCCAAGTCTTGCAACTTTTCCATGGCCAAGGACCGTGGTTGTTACAGCTGCAGTGGATTGTGCAGTAATGTAATAGCATCACCAGAGAAGAAAGATTTTCTGTGGGTAGGAGGGGCTGGGAAGGATAAAATTTGATCGGTGCATTAAATCTATCAGAAATTAATACACCTATTTTCATGTATTTCTCATTGAGAATTGGCACCATCATTATTTGGTAGTTTCCACCAAATGTTGATTGTATGATCTTGACAGACTCAGTGAATTGCAAAAAGTGGACTTGGGAATCACATGCAACCCATAGGGTGCCCACCCCACCTGAACTATAGTCTCCTCTGTGACTTATGTAGAAATTCAAAGATCCAGGGAAAAAGCTTTCCTGAACTTTAAAGGTTTTTAAAATGTGTGTTCTTTCAGGCTTTGGACATCATAAATGAGAAATGTAGATGTGCCTGAGTAAAAGGTTTTGATTTAATAATTCCTTGTTTATTGGATCACCCTTATTATTTTTAGGTGGCTTTCCCATTGCCATTCTAGAAACAAAATGGCATACAAGATTGTCAAATAAAGGAATATAGATATATATAAGAAAGCCCTTGATGAAAGATTTTTCCCCAATGACGTGGTTTTGCTATTTTGTTAAAAATATATAAATAGAAAGTCTTCTGGACAGGCGGCAGAGGGATGTCTGCAAAGATTCTGGCTTTGATGCTGTTCAGTCAGGTAGCATCACAAAACTAACCAAACATCCAACCCCACTTGGATTTCACATACGTGGCGCAAATCCCCATTGCGTTTCAAATTCTCTCAGAATTTAAGCGTCCTTGAGCTTCCATCCGGAATTTGCCACACATCGGGAGTTCCCTGGGCGCTACGCCAACCTAGGGAAAAAAAATGGGGACAGAGGAGGGAAAAAAGAAAGGTGTAATATGGACCGAAAGTCAAAGCATTTGTGTTTACAATTAAGAGGATGCAGCACACTAGGCGATACTTTACTTGATCACCTTGCACCTCTCAAGTTAACAAACTCCTATATTAAGCAGAAAAATACAGTGCCCCAATCCAGCATATGTACCTAATCACTCACAACAAAAGGTCACGGATCAATATGCCCATTGGTCAATTTTGTAGACACATTCAACCACTTTTATGGACCTAAGTGCATTTTGTGGTTTATAGATATGGATTCACCACAAAGAAGCCTGCATTCATGGAGTGGTGATGGCACAGTGGTTAGAATACAGCATTGCAGGCTAACTCTCTTAACTTTGCCGGGAGGTCAATCCCAACCAGCTCAAGTTTGATTCAGCCTTCCATCCTTCCAAGGAGAGTAAAATGAGGACAGATTGTTAGGAGCAATATGCTGTGTAAACATCTTAGAAAGTGTTATAAAGAACTATGAAGCGGTATATAAGTCTAAGTGCTATTGCTATTCATACCTGAATCTCCTTTGCTGGATCAGGGCTTTTAGGTCTAACCTAACACATAGCATAATCTCATGACAAGACAAATTGCCATCAAACCAATACTTGTTTCTTGAGAAATGCTGACATCCAAGCCCATTAGCAGCTCCCATGATGTGAGACATGGGCTTACATGCTTGTGGCCTTCAAACTTTGCTGACTTTAGTAGAAACTGTGGATGTAGAATCCAGATTTGGAGAATTCCGTCCATATTATGGTTCTTGTAAATGATGCTTTTACTGGTCCCCCCACCCACTAGATTGGTCTTATCCAGTGACACTGTTGTAATCTGATGGTTTGTCCATAAAGATCATCCGACTGATTGCACCAAAATAAATATTTGGTTATGTATTGGATGTGTTGGAAGCATGGGATGTTCTTCATTCATAATGCTGCAGTTTACGAGGAACTGCACCAGAAAGATATAGCTGATCATGTGTGCTGCTTCCCTCATGAAACAACACATAGCAGTTCCTTAATTAAAAGAACAATCTTATGATATGTTCTCATATCCCAAAGTCAATCACAGCAATGTGTTAGTGTCTATTACACAGGATATGATTCTGATCAAATACATGAAAAACTTTGGTAACTCTGATAAAGACAAGCCATTTCTTTATTATTTTAAGGGGCTCTTCAAGATCATTTCTAGCATGAAATTTCTGTGATCTAGTTCTGAGGGTTGATAATGATATGTTATCATTTCTGTGCAGTAAAAAATTGCTTCAGCAGTAATGTTATGCAAACATTGATATGCATTTTATATATAGGATCATACAAATGACTTCTACTCTGCAGCCTGAAGTGATATAGCCCAACTGGAATATATCTGTGGGAATCAGGACTGTAGCATAAAATGGCTTTCAGTGTCTTCTTTCATTTGAAAATTGCAGTAGGATTGTGACAAATTTTCTGAGAAATGGCTTGCCTTCCTGAGATTCAATGGCTTTCAAATGTTCACAAGATGTTATTATATGTTCCACCCACTTGAACCATATTGTTCATTATTATTTTTTTCACCAGAAATAAATATCAAAATATTTCTGAAGCTTGCCAGTCAAGCTTGTATAGAACGTTGGCACAACTTCAGAATGCATTATGGCTACCATTAGAATTCACTTTCAGGAATCTAACAGATATTAAGTGGCCTCAATAGTTAATGCTTCTATAATGCCATTAATTCATCACACTTCTAGAAAATGTCACATTTCACATGGCTGTTTTTTTGTTTTGGCTTTCAGGCCACAATACATTGTCTTATAAAAACTCTTATTATTCTACTCTGCTTGGTTCCTGTAGATCAGCTTCCTTACCTGGTTACTTAAGCAATACTATGGGATCTTGAAAATGTGGACTTAATTTCCATGCAGCTTATACATAGGAAGCAAAGTTGCAGTATAGAATTACATGTCAGATATGAATTGTTCTTTAAGTTTTTAAAACAGTGGGTTTCTAGATATTGCTGAAATAAATTTCTCACAATTTTAGCCAACACAGCCGATGATTAAAAAAACTGAGATTTGCAGAAAAAACATTGAAGGCTCACAGCTGTTTCATTCTATGTTTAGGTGGCATCTTGCTGTTGTTTTCCACTATTGCCTTAATTGTCCCCAACAGACCTAACTCTCTATATCATGAAAGTAATTCACAACTGCCATAGTAACCGTATTTTCAGATTGTGATGTACTCAAATATATCGCATAAAAAGTATGAACTGAAAATTTTAAAAAAATCATTTTAATAATATTCAGTGTTTGAGCAATGTTGTTATTATTCAGGTATGCAGATTTTAGTATCTATCCAACAAAGGTTCACCACCTACTGTAAGGAATATTAATAAATAACTTGAAAAAACAAATCCCATGATTTTACTTTGAAGTGAAGGTCTACTTCTTTTTCTTAAAAATGCTATCATGTAGTCAAACTGAAATGACTACAACACTGGCTGGGCTTCATTCATCTATTAAGAATGGTAAAGACTCCTTCAAATTACATTTGACTCCTAGTTAAGTACAGAGATGTCCATGCAATTGTCCTGCCAACAACAGGAAAGTTATTTACTATCACCTTCTGGAATTTCTTCCCAGAACAGCTTACAGTGATTTCCCAGTGACTTCTCATTTAAAGTACTAACTAAGGTTGTCCCTACTTAGCTTTCATTGAATCAGCCAAGGGAGCTAGGTGTTGTCACCTGCTGTACTTACACATTTCACATGAAAACAGCAGGTTCTTTAACCTTATGTACATTGTGAATTTGTCAGGTTGTCCTTAAATTGCTGTATGGCCCTGGGCTTTCTATTTCTCTGTGCAAGCTAAAACACAAGAATGGGAGACACTTTGTTAAGGTTAAGTATGAGAAATCTGAAAGGCCCTTGGAATTCTAGTTTAACGAAGTCTTTATAAGAAAACATTTGGGAAGATTTATTTTGCTAAACAATATAAAAAACAATGGTGAAGGAGGAGGAAAGTGCCTTGTTCCATGCAGCCAAGTTAGCACGTGATGGATGAGACGAGAACCTAAATGAATTAACTCTTGTGGAAGGTCTGAATTCTGAACTTAATGGTTTTACTCTATCTCCATCAACTCTCCCATACAATCTCAATGATACAAAAGCAGGTATCATTGAGATGTTACCATAATTGACTTGGCTTGGAAAATTGTTATAATAGTACAACCGTAGAGCAAATGTGGATGCTATAATTAAACTTTCAGGGTATTTAAGATCTGTCTATATTCTCAGGTGGTCCAAGCCAATTCTCCTATTTGAAGAAAATATGGTTGATTAATTATTTCAAGGCATCATGTTTACAGATAAAATATATGCTATACATACATACATCAAATAGCCTCAGAAATGAAGACAAGACATACAGTTTGACAGTTTTCTGTATCACATTCTGTACATGTGCAATGTGCAAGGTAATGGAAACTGAAATAATAGCTCTTTCACAGCAGATGACCAATGAAAAGACTTCTAAAATCTTTACAGACATTCATAAAAGCAAGTACAAGATATTGTTGAAATGTTTAATACTAGTACTGAAAATAGTAATTGAACTGATCAGTACTGAAGTCTTCAAACAGCATTGCCATTTTGATTTCAGTAATCTGCTAGCACTCAGATTATTTTCTTTTTGAGGTGAAGCTAAATACATGGTTCTGTGGTAAAGTCTGGGACAGATATTCCATACTGAAACCCGACCAACACTTCTCCCTCATAAAGTAAGGGCATTATGCAAAATTAATCTCTATATTAAATTCTGCAGGGACACTGCACTAACATACTTTATACACGTAGTGAAGGAAAACAGGATGTTACTCTTCCATTAACCTTGTGCTGCAGTAAAGGCCTATTTTTTCATGTCAGGATTACACACACATTACCTACCTATTTTGTAAAGCCCAGGTTAAGAGATAGCCAGTCACATACATTCCCTATGGCTTTCATACAGTTTACTAAGTGACTAATCCACCAAAGATGATTATTGCAGCATTATTAATCTCCAGCCTCTTTTCTTCAGGCTCTCAGTGAGCTACAAATAAATAAATAATACAGGAAAAAATATAATCAAGGGATCTAGAAACATTTGTAAGCCTTTGCAAGGCTAAAACAGCAAGCAGGTCACCATATCCACGTCTTCATTTAATGGTCCAATCCACTGGTTCGCCAGTCTTCTGAAAGTTTCTGGTCTTGTCAGTTTCAAATTCATCAGGTTCACCTTAACACCATCATGACAGTTAAGCTAGCAGAAAGCTTAACTTCATAACATAAATCATATGCAATTACTCCCAATTTTTAATCCTTCCTTACTTTTCCATCATTTTCTCTTTTGTTGCTCATCCTCAAGTTTCTAAAGGTCTGCAGGATTAAAGGCAATTTGTACTGGAACCAAAAGGATACAAAAGCATTTTCCCATCATTTTTGGAGTAAAGATTTTGAATAGTCTTCAGTGAATAGTGTGGAAGATCCATAGGTTCTAACAAATGCATGATGTAACACATAATGCAGGAACAAGTACCATAGGGCACTGCAGGAACATGAGTTGATGATTCAACTTATCACATATAAGATCCTTGAAAGAACTTTTGCAGACAACACCTGAAAAGAGTAATAAAGATATTCTGACCCCCATATCTTGCAAAAGATGTCTCAATCAGAATAGAGACTAACCTAAGACCTAGAAAACTATACCTGTGTTTGGATTAAATCTGTACTATTTGCTTGGATCACAGAACTGGGTTAATTCTGCATTAACGATACATATGGAAGTACAAACTTAGATAAAATTTAAGATTCTGCTGCAAAGGTAGACATGAAAAATAAAGTCTAAAAATGTCAAGAAGGTGAAGAGAAATTATGCATCATGGCTGAAAAACGGAAAAATAAAACTACTGAAAGTTGTCCTAATAGAGGGGG